GACCATAAGTCTCCATTTTCTAACATACAAGGTGGTTTTCTTAGTAGCAATAACATCAGCCAGATGAATTTCGAAACTGGGCCTTGCAGGTTAACATCGAAGAAGATGAACCTTGTCTTTATTCAGCCCTCTTAGGGGAGGAAGAAGAGTCTTCTTTTCTTAAGGTAGCAGACATGTTCATAAAGTAACTTACATACTTACAACTTTGTGAGACTCATGATGTAGTAAAAAATATACTTTTTTTTTTGTTCTCCAGCTTTGTCTTGTTGCTTCCCTAACTTTCTTTTATACTGTTGAGTGCTGTCTGGGCTATTTTTGTAATCCTTTCTTTCCTTTGATGATCATTTCCAGAGTAATCTTGTAATCCCACAATCAGCTTTTCTGTCGTAAAAGTGAATCCCCAGTTCTGCAGTTTCCCTTTCACCCTTTTCCCTTCCTTTTCCTATCCCTTCCCCCCAAAAGTAGAAAGAGACCTTCCTTGATGGCTTCCTACAAGCAAAGTCAGTGGTGGAACTATAAGAAATAAAAATTGCAGTCATGTGAGGTCCTCACTTAACGACCCATCGTGATTCAGTTACTGGTAATCAGGGATTGCCAAAACTGTTATTGCTAAGTAGCTGATATTACACATGATCAATTGCTTAGTGAGAGAAATTCTGGTCCCAATTATTAGTATTAAGCTGGGATAACATATATAGAAACCTTAATTTGTCTATCTTTCAACTTTACTACTAAGATATACAGAAAAAGAGCCCCACTACCGTTTTCAGTAGTTGCTCACAACCACTTTCATGAGTTCATCTGTTTTATTGAATATGTTTTCAAAACCCTGCTATGAACGTAGAAAAAAATTGATCAGGACAGGGCTTGTGATGTATCATTTAGCTAATAAAAGCTGCAAAGAGATAGATAGCCACAAACTAATTTTTATAAACATGTTTTGCCAAAATGCCTTATCATTTTTAAAAAGGAAAAACAACCAAAAAATAAAGACACTAAAAATTAATTGATGTAGAAATAAGTAGGCAAAAAATTACCAAGACTAATACTCATTGTCTAATTGATTGGAAATTAACTATAGAAAACATGAAGTTACATTTAAGTACATAAAATTGTTTTAACAATGCATGTAAGAATTAAATATCTGAGCTACATTCCAAAATTTTCACTATTTGGTATTTAAAAATACAAAAATGAAAAAAACCTAAAACATTACATATAAATATTATTCTAATTTCTTCTTTATTGTTCTCCATCTAATTCACAATACTTCTAAATTTCCCTAGAACAACTACAAAATTGTGTGTGTTTTTATTTTAATTCCTTAGTCATTTTTTCATTTTAAAAACTTGTCCATGTGTTTTAATGGCAGCCACTCTGGAGTACATGTTAACAAAAACTAATGTATTTACAAGTTCTAAAATTATAGTTGTGTTGTATTTTCAACATCCTAGATTTTAATTGCTTTAATGCAGCAAAAACAAAAGAATAAAATATACAAAATGTAAAGAGAAAAACTGTGTTCGTGAATTACAACAGTTATATAATATATATAAAGAAATACAGCTCAATTGCTTAACAGCAGATTTAACTTGGCTGTATTACTGTATTGCCCAGTACCAGTATTTCTATTATGCTGATAAAGAACTAAATCAGAGACTGAGGGGATATTTCATCTAGCAGTCAATCTTTCGTGTCTATATATAACTGGATTTTTTCTGTGTAATTCTGTTAGATAAACAGATTGATCTACATTGATATGTGAGATATATTTCCAATATGTGGAATTATGCCTTAAATCTTATAAAAACAAGCATTTGATTTTTGACAGTTAAATTGTCTATGGCCTACTTGAGGGTCTTTTGGATGTCTTTCTTAGGAAAAGTTAGGGTTAAAATTCTCTTGTTTTGCATTCTTGAGCCCTGGAGAAGAACACTTCAGAATTATGAATTACATTTGTCATGTAGGCCCAGTTTAGACTTGCTGCTTTAGTTTTCCTTCCTTACAGTATTGTAGTCACTATTGAAAATAGTTTCTTGTGTACATATTATATGCATTTCTTGTGTACATATTATATGTATAATTTGGTCCATGCTTTTAAAACTTCACAGTTTATAAAAACCTCAGCTGTTACCCTTGCTCCCTGGAACAACATACCCCCTGAAGTTGGGTCAGCCCTCACCCTGTTACTTTTAAAGATCGCTTACTTAGTAAATAGGGTTCTTTTCTAGAAAATGTTTGGTTAAGAAACTTGTAATTTAAGAGCAATAAGTGTCATGTTTTCTCTTATCTTTTTATTATTATTTGATATTTAATGTGCTTATTGCATGCTGTTAGAGTTGCTTGAGTAGGTGGCATACAAATTTTCTGTAGATAATGATTGCCAGGATATGGTGACTTGAAAATGAATATAGATAGTTCTTAACTTGCAACCGATCACTTGGTGATTGATTGAAGTTATGACAGACCCTGAAAATGTGTTTATGACCTGGGTTTGAACTTCTGATGTCCAGGCCTCCTCTGTGGTCATGTGCTCACATGTGGTCACATTTTGAGTACTTGGCAATCAACCAGTCATTGACTATTTGCAGCATCACACAGTCATGTGACTGCAATTTATGAGGCTTTTGCTGGAAGCCAGCATTTACTTTCAGTTTTGTGTACCATTGTGAACAATAGGCTTGTTTAATGACTGCAATGTTTGTTTTATGACTGCCACATTTACAACGACTTCCACAAAAAAATGGTAAAATCAGGCATGGTCATGTGGTGACCCACTTTAGGACTGTCATGATTGATGTGTAAAATTGTGGGCTCAATTAAGGTTGTAAGTCTAGGATTACCTGTAATTTGTATGTATTAATCTAACTCCAGATTCATAATTCTATATTCTTTGTGATCTTAAACAATAAAAAGGCAAAGATCCAAATACAAGCCTGATTTTGGAACATAAATTACCTCAGTTGGTCTTTGAGATGACCTGAAGTACAACCTCCTCTTTGGGACAGACAGATGAAATAAAATCATTAAGGTTTTCTGGATTTCACCAGTTTCCAGTCCCACTGATCATAGTATCTTCTAGATAAACTTAATTGGACAGTAGTGATTTAGTGATTTCTCCTAAATGACCATTTCCATAAAGTGCTAAAGGAGATTATTGTTGTGCTGAGGCAGTTTATATTATGAGGTGATTCGGTGCTCCTGCTTTTCAATATATTTGTATAAGAGTACTGGCCAATTAGGTGCACCGAGGAAGCCATCCATAGAACACCAGTCATATTTTCCAAAAGTCAAATGTTTTTGAGCCATATTGTTATTTCTATTAGAAGTCATGATCCTCGTTATTAGCACATAACTTTAAAATAGTGTATTAACGTTTTAAGAAAGACATTCAAGAACACAATCCTTACTTTGAAGAAAATGTCAGAACACCTTTCGGTTGAAAAGTTTGTTATAAGTTTGTCATTGTTTTTTAAGAAGCATGAAGAATGTTGATAGTAATTTATGTCCTTCACTGTGGATTTTTTAAAAGAATCTTGTAAAGAATAAAGAGAAAGTAAAGAATAAAGAATAAAGTACCTTTGCCAGTTTATTAATACTTGGTTTAAAAAAATATGTTTAAAAATTAAATAAGCATTGTTAAACAGAAACATTCATCTGGAAATATTTTCCAAAGGGGTTTCTTATCTTCCTATCTCTTTATGTTTGTGTGTACTGAAGTAAATGGCCTCCATAAAAACATTGCAAATGATTAAACTCCTTTAAGATGTCAGATATTTAACCTTAATTGGAGACTTTAATGTAAAGTGGTCTGGCTATACAGAGCCTGTACACCTTTAAATTCCTGCTCCTGAAAAGTTAAGAACATTTAAATTTTACAATGTATTTTTACAATGAACAGAAAGTTGGATCTTTATCCTTTGGCCTGCTTGAAAGACTGTAAATGGTTCAGAAGGGCTGTTTAGATGTGAGACAGAAAATATTTGTTTCAAAACTGTTAATGTTTCGTGGAAATTGAATTAAACGGTTTAGTATATAGGATATAGTATTGGATAATATCAAAGGGCATAATTGTTAATTGTTACTTTCAATTGGTAAGTTTCATTTTTATATTGGTCATCTCCAGTGTGTTTCCAAGGGATGTTTAAGACATTGGAGAATTAAAATACATTCATGAAATTTCAACATAATCTGCCTTATTTCTTTATATCATCTGTGATGACAGATCTACTTTTACAGGTTTTATGGAGGTTATAATTTCTAGGGTCAGATAATTTGTAATTCAGATTTTATATGAACAGATGATCTAATGATTTAGGACTAATTTAAATGAACATATTGGGACACCTAAATCATGGCTCAGAGGTGCCCAGATTTGGCAACTTTAAGACTTGTGGACTTCAGCTCCCAGAAATTCCCAGGCAGCATGTCTTAAAGGTATCGTTAGACACTCCTGTCATAAATTGTTTTTTCTTTTCCATGATTCTTTCTCCCCTCTTTAACAGAGTACTATATCCAAAACCCTGTATTTGAACTGAAAGTAAAATAGTCTAGCTACTCTAACATTCAGACAAGTCAATATAATTTCTCTTTGCCACAACTTCTTGTTTAAAAATATACAGTGGTATGTTGGTACTCAACTGCTTTGAAACGCAAATTAGGTACTCAATGCACTTTGACATGAAAATTTTGTCCTGGTATTTATTGTTTGTTTGGTACTCAACTAAGAAGTTAGAACTTGTCATTGTCGGCTGCCTCATGACTCACTATATTATTCCTTGTGGGGAAAACGTACAATAAGAAATACAATACAATAAAAAATCAGTTTTATGGTATAGAAGAGTTTGACTTTCTGAATCTCTTGTTATATGATCTGTTCCTAATGAATTCAATACAATATTCTTTTTCTTTATAAGTTTCATTTTTAGTAAAAAGATATATTATTCTACTAATGATTTCTACCCATTTTACTTAGCATTTTTCTTTTTCATCCTTCTTAGATTATTTGATGTATGCACAGTATCCCGAACTGAACGAGAGACGAAATTAACACTGGTGTTTGAACATGTTGATCAAGACTTGACCACTTACTTGAATAAAGTTCCAGAGCCTGGAGTTCCTAGTGAAACTATAAAGGTATTGAAAGGGGAAGGGTTCAAGAAGAGTTTGTACGTAAGCTTTTTATTAAATTTATAAAATTATTCAAACATATGTTTAATAAAAAAAACTTTTTTGAAGAAATATGAATCAATTAAATGTATCTAACTAGCTGAAGTTTTATAGCTTAACTAAAGCAATTTAATCAAACTACAATTGATATTGTTGACAGGTTGGGGCTTCATAATTGGTAGTGCATAGATTTATCCATCAGTTATAAAGGACAAGGAACTATAGGAGAAGATTATCATAACGTTTGTGCTTACACTAAAAAAAGCAGTTCTTTTTTATATTTGAAAGGCCAGAGTGTTTATTATTAGCTGTTAAAAGGAAGGAACCACAGCTCAATGGTAAAGATCATGTTCTGCATGAAGTTTCTAGGTTCTGAAGGCATTTCCTTCTATAGCTTAAAACGCTTGCTGCTACTTATAGTAAAATGAAAATGCTGAGTCAGATGAAGCAGTATAAGTAACTGCCATATGATAATCTACAGTTTTGTTATCTCTTGATAATTTTTTCCTACATTAGTTTATATTACTAGGTAGAGTTGAGAAAATCACAACTGTCTGCAAAATATTCTAGACTTGTCAAGTAACAAAGTCCCCTGGGATTGTACTGGTAAATGTTAGAGACAAAATTGTGATTTTTTTAAAATGGCATGAGTTTTTCCAAATTATCCTGATTCAAAAAGGAAATGATAACTCAGAGCAAACATTGATGTACACATCATGTTTGTCAGCAGTGCTTTAAGTAAGCTTTGTCTTTTTTTCCCCAGACCATTGCTTCTTTGAGTAGTTGGCCACAAACATGATGTGCACATCAGTATATGCTCCAAATCATCTTTCCCCTTTTGAATCCAGATGTTGTAGAGCCCAAATAAGCCCATGTATATTAAGAGTCTTTTTAAAAGCAAGAATATTTAACAGCTCTATGGCATAGAAGCTATTTTAGAGTTAGACACTTAAGTTATAATTTTATGTTATTTAACCTGGTTTCCATGCTGTATTGTTTTAGTAGATATTCAATAATTTTATTGCACATACATGTGAGATTGTGAAATGTGGGGATTTGAAGTGTACCGAAGGATATATGTATGTATATATTCGGATATTCAGATATTTCTATTCATATCAATGCAAGTTGTTCCAGAAATTTTTGAAAATACGTTAAAAAGGGGAAGCGATGATAATAAATACTTCTTTTCTAAGAATCTACATAGTTTGTAGCTTTCCTGCTGAAGTCGAATAGACTTAGTGGTTAACCCTATGACTGTCTCCTGAAGATGGCATCAATGGGCGGAAAATTCAAACAAATTCTTTTAAGTTTGTTTCTTCCCAAATTTATAAAAAATGTGTACTTTTCCTCTCTTTTTTTGTTGCTATGTTCTATAATCACCATGTTATTCCAGTTTCTTTGAGTTTCAAGTCTGTTGAAATAGAACTTCCTTCATTTTGAGAATGATTTTATCTTCTAAGGGAAGCTCAGACAAAGGCACACATTATTAGAGTTAAAATATACTGACTGCAGACAAAAAATAATGCATGGAAACATAAATGAGCTATACTGTTTGGGTGATTAATCCTTTAGATATTTGGCTGATTAAAATATTTTCACTTCAATAAAGGGCCTAATATTTCAGAACCTAAAAGATCATGCAGTTAAGGGGGAAAAAGCACCCAGTTAAAATTCTTCTGAACTGGCATTCTTCAGAATGGAAAAAATCTGTCCTCTTCTCTCTCTTTCTTTGGGGGAGTGGGTATATTTACCCTATCAGTATGCATGCAGAATAAGATCTGAGGAAAAAAAATAGCATTCTAAGATTTACTTACTGCACATGCATACTAAAGACATATAATAATTTCAGCAGAGAAGTATCACTCTATTATTTTAGATGTATATCAGTTTTGAAGTTTTTTTGGTGTCATATCATGTTAAACCATATTTCAGTGTTATGTAATCGGATTTTCTGCTTCTCTGTCATTGGTCATGTGAAAGTGCTCATAATATTTCCTTCTGTTTTCAAATAACTCCTGTTTCTTATTTGTTTAAGCAAGCCAACTACATAACCCACAGTTTTACATTGGCTTATTTTCAAGAAACAGTGGTTAACATTAACTAGAATTTGATGGTTAATGTTGTTGGTAAGCAAAATCATATAAAGTACTTATGGCTGCATCAATCAGAGAAGAGAAGAAAAAACAAAGGGCAAAAGTTAAAGGATTTTTGATCATGAAGCCCGGACTCAACTAACATATCAAATACATTTTGTTTTCAAGGGTTTTGATTGTTGCTGTGACTACAGATAACTAGAAAACAATATTGTACTTGACTTCAGAAATAATGTGCCTTGGCTGTATAGGAACTTTTGCAAGCTCATAGAAGAATGTTTGAAATTCATCTGTCAAAACTGAAGGCATAGGTCACTTTAAGTATGAATAAAGCAATGTTGTGTGGAAGATTGAATAAAGATCAGATATAGAACTAGGTTGCAGAAACAGAACATTGAAGTAACAACAATTACAGATAATCCTGGATTTATGGCCATTCATTTACCCTGTTTCTCCAACAATACGGCCTCCCCCAATAGGAAGTCCCAGCATGTTTTATAGGCATGAAATGAAATTAAGCCCCTCCCCCCAAATTAAGGCCTATATTAAAACATGCGAAATGGGGGGGGGAATGGTGGGGGGGCTTGCCGTTAGGAAGTACTTTTGTTGCACACCCAGATATGGTGCTGCCTGCGTTGACCCCGATACGAAGTGCCCCACCAACACCGAGGTCAACATCCAAGCTGTCACCACCCACCCGCCTGAAGATGCAAGGGGGGGGGGGAATTAAGTCACCCCTGAAAAGACGGCCTAGCCATTTTTTCAGGGCTCAAAAAAAAATAAGACCCGGCCTTATTATATGAGAAACACGGTAGTAATGATTTGAAATTATGACTTGATTTTAAAAAAACGACTTATAGCTAGTACTCCCACTATCACAGCATCCTCGCAGTCATATGATCATAATCCAAGCAATTGCTATATTTATAATAGTTGTAGCGTCCTGGGATTATGTGATTGCCATTTACAATTTTCCCATCTGGCTGCCAAAAAGTAAAATCAATGGGAAAAGGTTGCAAATTGTGATCTTGCAACTTACTTAACAACCACAGTGATTGACTTAACAAAAATGGCAAAAAAAATGTAAAATTGGGTGCAATCATGTGATGCAATCACTTAACATTTGCACCATTTAACAATGAAGTTTCCAATACCAACTATAGTTGAAAATTAAGGGCTATCCATATGGAAACTGCTTCAGAGCATGTTCAATCACTGATCTATCCAGCTTAGTATTATTGCTACCGGCTGTCAGTGGAAAACTAGGGAATAACCCTGGAGCTCACACTGTGTGCTCTACCATTGAATTATGTCCCTTTCTGGATGATTAAGCATCAGTTGCTGACCAAATTGTTAATCTGCCAGTGAAAGTAAAACAGAATATTTTGCAAGTCAAATGAAATGCTTACAACCTAAGCAGGTATCTTCTTCTGTATATGATAATATACATATAACACTAAACCCGCTATCAGTGATACTGGACTAGAGCAGGGGTGGGATACAACAGGGTTAACTACTGGTTCGGGATTTACGAACTCCCCTGCCCACTGTGAGCCGCACGCCTGTTAATCATTAGTACACTGCGTGCTGAGAAGCAGCCTTTGAAACAGCCCTCTTTTCTTGTTTTCTTAACTGCAGCTGTGCCTTGTTCGGCAGCTGAAGTTGAAAAATAGGAAATAAAGATCAGGTAAGAGTCCGGGTGGGCAAAAACATCAACAGACATAGAACTGGTTCTATGCCTGCTGCTCTTCAGAGCTACCGGTTCTACAGAGGTGGACAGAACCGGTAGAAACCAACCCCTGGACTAGAGCATTTCCATAATGTAAAAATATGAGATCATGATTTGATAGATATGATTTAATTAAAACAAAGCATAAGGTCCATTATTTTGGATGGAATCTTATTTACACTATGTTTTTTCAGTATCTCTCCAAGGTAAATTCAAATATGAGACTGGGCATATTTTCTACGTTTGTCATTCAAATTATTCATTTTTATTCTCTTATTTTTCTGCATTCTTTCTGAAGCGTCCTTGTTGCTCTCTTAGTTTAGTTGTTTCTTGCAGACATTTCATTACCCAAATAAGGTAACATCATTTTTTCTAGTATCTTCTGGATACTAACACTGATTATGTTACCTAGTTTGGGTAAGCATCTGCAAGAAAACAACCAAGCTCAGAGAGCACCAAGAACCGCTTATTTCAATCCTGAGCCATAAACATTTTTTTTATTGGTTTCTTTTATTTCTTTGATTCTTGACTGGTTCTATACCTGATTTTTGTTCAATTCTCCTCCATGCTGCATCGAGAGCCCAGGATGGGTTGACTCCTTCCTATGACGTCATAGCTGAGTCTGTAGTCTTCCTATGATGTCATAGCTGAGTCCTTCTGTTGACATTCCAGTTCTGGCCTTGTTCTCATCTTCTGGCACTCCCACGGAGCCAGAAGATATCCTGAAACCGGATGATAAACGTTCCGAACAGACCCTCAAGCGCAATCACCAGGCTGGTGCTTGGGCTGTTCGGGCTTCAACAGCAGCATCCTTCTTCACCAGGGCATCCATACGGTGGTTGCTCCAACTCCAGAATAGATTGCCTGCTTCTGACCTTCGGTCTCACCAAGACCTTAATAAGATTATTGCAGCGGCGGAATTCACTGCCGATGCCACTCTCAATTCCGCCAAATTTGCATCCAAGGCCATGGCATCTTCTGTAGCAGCAAGAAGACTTTTATGGCTCCGAAATTGGCAGGCGGAGTCACGCCAAAAATGGAAGTTGGCTTCAGTTCAATTCGCAGGCGATAAGCTTTTTGGCGATGCTCTGGAACCTTATCTCATCGAAACCAGAGATAAACATAAAATTCTCTCTTCCTCT